GCCAGGGCAGGTTTGGGTTGGATATTGGGAAAAATTCCTTCACTGCAAGGGCTGTCAGGCCCTGGCCCAGGCTGCCCAGGGAAGGGGGGGAATCCCCATCCCTGGGGGTATTTAAAATATGGGTAGATGTGGTGCTTAGGGCCATGGTTCAGTGGTGGCCTTGGCAGCACTGGGTTAGCGGTTGGACTCGACGATCTCAAAGGCCTTTTCCAACCTAAACGGTTCTACGATTCCGTTGGTCAGCAATGCTCTCCCCAATAGCCAAACCATCAGCCTGACGCGGCCAGAAAGCGGAGCCGAGGGGCTCGGGGTGCTGGGGGGTGCAGAGACAGCGGTGCGGTTGTCTGAAGGGGTTGACGGGAGCGTTGAGGATGTGGTTGATGTGTTCACGCTGTCTCTTTGGCAGTCGCCCACCCGATCCGGCCCAAGCCTCCGTCTGCCACAAGCATCCCAGCCATCCTGAAAGCCCTCCAGGATGAGTGGGTAAGCACTGGGGCACGGCTGGGAACGGAGCTGAGTGCCGGCAGCTGCCTGCGCTGAGGCTAACGCCTTTTCCCTGCCTGCCTGACCCTGCCTCGTCCCGTTAGGATGCCGTCATGCTGCACAGCTTCACCCTCCGCCAGCAGCTGCAGACTACGCGCCAGGAGCTGTCCCACGCGCTCTACCAGCACGACGCCGCCTGCCGCGTCATCGCTCGGCTCACCAAGGAGGTCACCGCCGCCAGAGAAGGTGACGGGGGGTGGGGCGAGCAACGTGTGGCCCAGCAGCGGGTAGTCTGGGTAGCGATGGCTGCGCTGGACGCCGTCTCCTTTCCCCTTCGAGCGCTTGTTAAACTCACAGCCGTTCTCTGCCTCCGCAGCTTTGGCGACTCTGAAGCCGCAGGCTGGCCTCATCGTGCCCCAGACGGTGCCGTCCTCCCAGCCAAACGTGGCGGTGCGTCCCCGCTGCCCCTTTTGGGGCTTTTCCCCTCAATTCCCCGCTGCCAATCTCCGCTCCTTTCCCCTCTCTTCCTCCTCTGGCTGTAACCAGCCCCTTTCTCTGTCCCATGCAGGGAGCTGGGGAGTCGATGGATCTGGGAGAGCTTGCGGGCATGACCCCCGAGATCATCCAGAAGGTAAAGGGTCTCCCGCTTGCGCTGCCGCAGCCTTCGGCAGCAGCTTTTCTCCGGCCTCCCCTCGTGGGAGCCCCAGTCAGCCTGTGACCACCCTTCTCTTCTTTTCCAGCTTCAAGACAAGGCTACGGTGCTGACCACGGAGCGTAAGAAGGTGAGCCGCCCCGTTTCCCTCTGAAGATACCATGGCAGCCAGGACGTGCCATGCTCCGAGCGAGGCCGATGTTTATCTCCGCACTGTTTTCCTTTTGCAGAGAGGCAAGACGGTTCCGGAGGAGCTGGTGAAGCCGGAGGAACTTAGCAAGTACCGGCAGGTCGCCTCGCATGTGGTGAGTGCCAGGATGCGGGCAGGGGCTCCAAAACTCCCTGGTGTAGCTGGGCACGCGGGCCTCTCCTGTGCCGCTTCGCAGCCTCAAGGAGCAACAGATTTACTGCTGGGCAGAGTGAGGAGAGGGCCGTGACTCTCCGTGCCGCAGCCCGCAGGGATTAGATGCGGCACAGGCTCCTGCTGTTGGAATGGAACACCCTGGGCTCCCTCAAGGGCCTCTTAATTCCCTTTGGGGGCGTTTTCTTGCTTGCGGCATTAATCTGGCGTCCTCCTACTTCGCGCAGGGGCTGCACAGCGCCAGCATCCCAGGGATCCTTGCCTTGGACCTCTGTCCTTCCGACACCAACAAGATCCTCACCGGTAAGGGAGCCTCCTCCGCTTGCTGGGGATTGCGTGGTGTCGGCTCAGAGCCTGCGGCTGCCTGGGAGCAGGACCCTTTTTCTGTGCTTTTGCGGGATAGAGGTGGAGCAAGGGGCACAAGGGATTCTCTTACCTGATGGCAGAGCTCCTCAGGACAGCGGTCCCCAGGAAAGGTGGGTGGACTTGAATTTGGTTGGCCACAGATTCCCATCTCTCACCTCTCCCTGCTTTGTTTTCCAGGTGGGGCTGATAAAAACGTCATCGTCTTTGACAAGAGCTCGGAGCAGATCCTGGCGACACTCAAGGGACACTCCAAGAAGGTTACCAGTGTCGTCTTCCACCCCTCTCAGGTGCGCGCAGGCCCGTGTTCAGCCTCTTCCCTCATAGCCAGGCTGCCCCAGATTGGGTTTTCCAGGTGTTCCGTTCTGGTGGGGTCTCCGCCTCGTGCAGACTGGTGCTGAGCCAGTTCTTGCCTGTAGAAACCTGTCTCCGACGGAGAAGCGAAGCTCTTTTGATGTTAATTTCCCTTCTCCGTCCCTCGGCTAGGACTTGGTGTTCTCAGCTTCTCCCGATGCAACTATCCGGATCTGGTCTGTGCCCAACGCCTCGTGTGTCCAGGTCGTCCGTGCCCACGAGGGCTCTGTCACAGGGCTGAGCCTCCACGCGACGGGTGACTACCTCCTCAGCTCTTCTGATGACCAGGTGAAAGCCAGCGCCGGGCCGCAGACCCCTCCTCTGCTTCTCCTCTCTCTGTGCTCAACGCGCCGTTCCTCTCTTCCAGTACTGGGCTTTCTCGGATATCCAGACAGGCCGTGTCCTCACCAAGGTGACGGATGAGAGCTCCGGCTGTGGTAAGGCTTACGGCTGAGTATCCCCACCCTGCAGGGCTGTTGCGAGCATGGAGAGGAGGGATTTTTCTGCCTGTGGGTCCCTGGGCTCCTGGAGCTCAGAAGAACTCTGCGGGGAGCCTGCAAACAGGGTCAGAAAGTCTCCCTAACCCTCCAGAACTCTCCCCCTGTGTCTCTGCAGCTCTCACCTGCGCTCAGTTCCACCCGGACGGGCTCATTTTTGGAACAGGAACGATGGACTCTCAGATCAAGATTTGGGATCTGAAGGTAGGGCTGGCCCCGGGTGTGGGGGGGGCGACGGGGATGTGCTCGGTTTGGTGCCCAGCCAAGCCTTCAGTCCAAGGCGCGGCGCAGTTTTTCCCCAAAAATACAAAGCTTCAGCTCAAGAGCGGCCGCTTCTGGCGCCATAGCTGGTGATGGGGGGCGTTATCTTGTGACGAGGGGGCGTTTGCTGCGTCCCCAAGAGAATCGGTGAGGAACAGGAGGGTTCGCAGGCCGCCCGCTGCTGCGGGATGAGTCTGTGCTGGGTGTGCGTGGGCCTTGGCTCAGTCCTACGGCTGTAAATTTGCAGCGCAGGAGCAGCTCCAGCTGTCGGCAGGTCGGCTCTATCGTCCCCCACCGGCCTGTCGAGCTGTAGTTCAGGGCCACAAAGAGTGCACGGAAGCGGCTCAGTCTCTGTTCCCCTATCTGCCTGTTAACTCTGAAGCAGACTGATGATACAGACCGACATAGGCCGCCTGCCCGCCCAGCTGAGGTTGCAAGGATCTGCTCTCTGATCTCCCGGCCGCGAGGGCGCTGCGGTTCCCTGCTGGCAGCCTCTCTCTAACTGCCCTTATCCCCAGGAACGCACCAACGTGGCCAACTTCCCGGGACACTCGGGCCCCATCACCAGCATTGCCTTCTCTGAGAACGGCTACTACCTGGCCACGGCAGCGGACGACTCCTCTGTCAAGCTCTGGGACTTGCGTAAGCTCAAGAATTTCAAGACGTTGCAGCTGGACAATAACTTTGAGGTGCGTGACTGCCCCATTTTTCCCCCATGGGCAGGCTCCGCTCCCAGCGTCCGCTGTCCCTGCCTGCGCTCTGCTTTGGGGGAGCCTGAAGCAGACGTGCTGCCCTGCCAGCACCCCGAAAAGCCATTTGGAGCTTTCTGAACCTTGTCTGAAGCCTCGTTCCCCTTCTCCTCCGCAGGTGAAGTCTCTCATTTTCGACCAGAGCGGTACCTACCTGGCCCTGGGCGGGACGGACGTCCAGATCTACATCTGCAAGCAGTGGACGGAAATCCTCCACTTCACAGGTGAGGGGCTGTGGGAGGGCAGAGGCGAGAGGGGAGGCGCGTAGGTCCCTTTTTGGGGAGAGAAAACGCTCTCCTGGGTCTGCAGAGCGAGCCGTGGGGTGCAAAGCGCCGCCCACCCCATCGGCGCTCGGTGCCGTAACCGCGTCTTTCCTCCCCAGAGCACAGCGGCCTCACCACGGGAGTGGCTTTTGGCCACCACGCCAAGTTCATTGCCTCAACGGGCATGGACCGGAGCCTGAAGTTCTAAAAAAAGGCGGGGAGGGAGGGAGGGAGGGAGGGAGGGCGGCAAGCGGTTCGTTACTTCTCCGGGCTCCCCTGCTGTAGCTGTTGGCAGAGGGGAAGTTGGATGTCGCCTTCCCCGTGCTTTGTGGATTTGTTTGGTTTAGTTTTTCTTCTTTTTCAGTTTCGTGTGTGTCTTTTTCTGGCTTTAGATTCTGTTTTCTGTGCTTGTAACCGATGCAACAAAAGGCTTCAAGCCCAGCGCTGGTGGATGTTTGTGGCCGGGATTGTGGCGGGGATGTGCGGAAGGAGGGAGGGAGGGGAAGATCGTGCAGGTTTTGTAAGCAGTTATCTAGTTTCGTTATGGAAATAAAGAACTATTCACCGTAGCGGCGTGTGCCAGCCCCTGTTGTCCTGGGGGTGAGGAAGGCTCCTGCGATGGGCCGGGGTGTAGCTCGGAGGAGAGGAGGCTCCGACCAAGCAGGCAGGATCGGGGGGCTGAGGGGGGAGCTGTGGGTGCTGCCAGCTCTGGGATGGGGACAGGGGACCCTCCTTTCCTCCCGTCCCCTAAGGACAAACCACCACCACAGCCTCCAGCTTGAGCCACGCTATGCACTGGTTTATTTTCCCAGCTTGCCCGGAGATGGCAGGCAGCGGCTGGCTGGAGGCAGGAGCTGCGTAGGAGGAAGAGGAAGAGAGTTAGCTGGAGCTGGGATGAAGGGGCAGTTTAGGGAGTGGAGGGGACTCACCCAGCACCTTCGGCCTCAGCCTCTCGGCAGCTTGGGGACCTTTGGGAAGATGATGCGTCCCTGGGAGGTGACGGTGCCCACGGCTCCGGCTGTCCTCCTGTCCCCCGGAGACCGACGTGCTCCTGGGAGAGGCAGGGGGTCGGCGTGGAAAGGCGGGGCAGGCGGAGGTCCCCCCGCGGCCGGCTACTGAACAGGAGCTGGTGGCACCCAGACTTACGTGAGGGCACTCCCAGCTGGCAGGAGGGCCGGCAGGGCTCGGGCTGCGCGAGGTGGCACACGGAAGCGCTGCACGAGATATACACCTGGAAGCCACCGGTGGGCCAGCGTCAGTGGCCAGCAGTGCTGGGGTGGGTTTGGGGGTGTTGGGACAACACTGGGGGGGTTCAGGGGGACCAGAAGGGACCTCTGAAGTCCATGACCAGCCCCTGGGGCTGCCCCCCTCACCTCTCCCTCCAGCACTGCCATGGAGGGAGGCTCCACGAAGGTGAAGGTGGAGATGACGAAGCGCTGGTAGTGACTCGGGAAGGGCAGCTGCGGCGAGGCCGGCCCTACGGGCACGAGCTGCGTCCTGTAGTTGTCCCCTGCAAAGGGGCACCTGGGCGTGCGAGAGGGACCCGCGGTTGGTGCGGGTGAGTCCCCCCCGCAGCCCCTCCATCCTCCGGTGTGTACCCCGTGCTCACCCGTCCACCAGGATGGGCCACTGGGGCTCGGCCGCCGCATCGGTGCTGGGGGACGCCCAGCAGTGGTGCAGGACCAGCACCAGGTTGGGGTCCGTCTTTTGCAGGAGGCGAACCTCCACGTAGATGGGGTCCCGGAGGACCCTCACCAAGGGGTAATCGCCGTCGGGGTGGTAGGAGCTGTAGTTCTCGTCTGCGGGAAGGGCGAGAGGCTGAGCGGGCTGAGGGCGTGGGGGTGGCACGGGGTGGGGGGCGGCGGATGGGCTGCTCACCGGTGGCGATGCGCAGTTGGAGCCCCAGCGGCCCCAGCACGGCCATGGGGGCGGGCCGGGGGGGCACGGCCCCCC